CTTATACACCATTATCCTCCTCCTCCTCCTCTTCAAGGGTGCAGATCAGCCACTTTCCTTTCTATTGCGGTCCAGCACCCTTTTCCTTCTCTTCCTCAGGGTGGAAGGGTTTGGGTGCTGGCAGGGAGCAGGAGAGTTTAGGTGCTGACAATAGGAGAAGGTGGGGTGCTGGCAGTGAGAAGGAGAAGGAAATTTGAAGTGGCTCCATGCAGGACATTTCACCCTTTCTAGATACTAGGGTAGATTTGAAGCCAGGCATGGCTGCTGGGAGCACTCATAGGAGCTTCCATGACATGATTTCTGACTACATTTTAATATGAGAAGGAGAACAGTTGGGGTGGTGGCAGTGTGGAGGAGTGTTAGGGCTTCTGGTGATAAGGAGAAGGGAGGGGGTGCTGGTGGTGAGGAGTAGGAGGAAATTGGTGAGGAGTAGGAGGCTTCAAGAAGGATGTTCCACCCTTCCCAGAAACAAGGATACAATTTAGGGATCTATTGCCACAATCCCAGAGGGAGCCCGGCATGCCACACTTTCAAGAGAACCTGCTTGCTGAACATACATATGGTGGCAGGATCCCCTGCATTAGAGCAGGCATAGCTGCAGATAAAAAACCTATGCCCATAGGCTGCCCACCTTCCACAAGACAGGTGCAGACTCCTGCAGCCATAGTCCTTCTCTTCCCAAATCAGGTTTTACATTTTCGGGTGAGGTATAATTATTTTAGTTTATTTTCCAAGGGCCTTTTTTTTTTATTTTCGGGTTGCAGTGCAAACATTTGTTGCTGACAAAGGCAAAGGTGCCCTTTGTTTGTAGCACATCACTGCATACTTGTGTGGTAACACAGGCTCCAAATATATATCCTCCCTATTGTCATAGCTGACATTAAAATTGGAGGCAAAGATTTTGCACGTGGAAAAAGTAGATCTTTTTATGTTTTATTTTTTGCAGTATTTAAAGATTTATGGGGTTTTTTATTTATCATTTTTCCTTCCCCTGCTCTGGTCAAGCAAACATAGGTAGGAATGGCAATACAAACTGGGTACTGCCTTGGGCAAGAAGGAGGTCCTAGGCCTCAACACCACCTTTCTCTATGCAAAAATAAAAAAGGGTTTCTTCAAGATAATCCTGTCAGCTCAGACACTCGCTTTGCATAAGTGATGGCTACACGGAATAGAACTTTGTAGGTAAGAGTAAGCAGAGGAATGTCTCAAATGGGTTCAAATGGCTATTTCTAAAGTGCAGAGAGAGCCAGATGAAGCCCCAATCAAGCACTGAGATACCAACAGTCTCTGAAACAAGACTGAAAGGGCAGAATTGCTAATGCTAAGAAACGTATGCTGGTCCAAGCCCAGCCATCACTATTTTTTTGGAGTTTTTTTGTTTTATTTATAGATTTGTATTTTTTTATATTTAAATTTCTTTATTCTTTTCCTTTTAAGGCCATCCCTACCCTGGTCAAGGAAACATGGGCAGGAATGGCAAGGCTGTAACTTAAATCCTTACAAGCCAACATATCCATGGACTATTGGGTGTTAAGGATTAGACATGTGCGATTCGTTTCGTTACGAATCGAAATTCGTATGAATTTTCCTGAAATTCCGAATTTCGGAGCATCCGAAATCCGAATGGCAGTTTCCGAATTATATCCGAAATACGAAATTCCGTTAACGAATTTCGGATCCGAATTTCTTTGAAACAGGAACTAATATTACCCCTGTAAATGAGGTTGAACAGCATGACAAGATTTTTTTTTAATCCGA